AAAAAAAAAAAAAAAAAAAAAAAAAACTTGTAGGAGAGGCCTCTAATTAGCCCTGTTCATCTTTGCATGTCAAATTACAGGTTCATTTGTATATGGGCTGCCCTTAAGTGCTAGACTGTTAAATAACTGCATTAAAGCGTGATTATGTGGTATAATAAAAACATGGGTAGGGTGGAGTCCAAGAAGAGGTGGACTATGGGGTGAATGTGCCAGAAGAAGACTTCTTTGAGTAGACAGGCTGGGTTCTGAAAGAGTAAGAATATGACAGGTCAGTGGGATCAGGTAAGCACCCCTGAGGCAAATGCAGAGGAGAACTATTTAAGTGGGTCACCCTCCCAAGCCCCGATGCTCACATGGCCAAAAAGGAAGGGGATGACAACTATCTTGGAGGGACTTATAATTTGGTGGAAGTCACAGTGCAAAGATTCAAGAAATATTGAATTTGCAAGAATACAGGAGGATTCATTGGTTCCACTCTGGAGGAACTGTGGAAGATGGTAGGTGTCAGTGAGTGAGCATAATAAAAAACTGTTGGGAGGGGTTGGAAAAGATTTTGAGATTTTAATTTTTCTGTGGTTCAGAGAGGGCAATTTCCTTTTGAAATCTATATTTCTGTGGAAAGAAGATACCTCCTTGTGAATGGGAGAAAGTGTAATCACATTTCCAGCATTCCATATTGCTGGCATTGCATCATTTAGGACAGAGCTCCAATGAGCTAAGATGGGCATACTCTGAAAAATAAAACAGAGAGTGAATTACTGGCCTAGTGGATGGTGTGGCTTTGGAGTTGAGGTAATTAATACCCTGCTTTCATTCACTGACAAGTTTCTATCCATATGGAAATATAGTAAAGCTACAATTCAAATAGATTCAAGAGAGATAAGGAACACCTAAAAATAAAAAAAAATAACAATAGATTAAATGCTCATGAAGAAAATATAGGAAAAAACTGACACATGTGCTTGGTGAAAAATACCATAAATGGGGTGAAAAGATGGTCCTAAACTTCATTAAGAAAAAGGTGAACATCCCAATAGAAATAAAAGCAAAGGATACAAACAGATAATTCAAAACAAGAACTATAAGGTATAAGAGATTAGTAAACATCACTTATAAATAAATACAAATTAAAACAAGGTACCAATGACACCTGACTGATTGGCAAAATTAAAAATAATGAAAAATAGTTAATGGTAGTAAGAGAAGGAGGCAGAAATAGTAAGAGAAATTACATTCCTGTTGTAGAAGTGTAAATTCATGCAACTGTTCTGAGGGGCTATTTGGTAGTGTTTTTTGCATTTTGATTTAGGATAAAAATTATCTCAGAGGTATCACAGAAAAATGCAAAGACACTGGCAATAAAAATTAAGGACGATCTGGGCTTCCCTGGTGGCACAGTGGTTAAGAATCCGCCTGCCAATGTAGGAGACGTGGGTTCGAGCCCTGGTCCAGGAAGATCCCACATGCCTTAAATCTGTGGTTTTTTTCGATATTGAGCTGCATGAGCTGTTTGTATATTTTGGAGATTAATTCTTTGTCAGTTGCTTCGCTTGCAAATATTTTCTCCCATTCTGAGGGTTGTCTTTTCGTCTTGTTTATGGTTTCCTTTGCTGTGCAAACCTTTTAAGTTTCATTAGGTCCCATTTGTTTATTTGTTTTTATTTCCATTTCTCTAGGAGATGGGTCAAAAAGGACACTGGGTACTGGTAATACCCTAGGGGGAAAAAAACTCTTGTCCTGGGTAGTGGTTACATGAGCATGTTCAATTTGTGATAATTCACTGAGCTAGACATTAATGGTTTCTAAGTGTTTCTGTAATTTTATATTATACTTCAATATATTTTTTTTAAAGAGAGAAGACAGATCCCATACAAGGAGTGGTTATTATAATGGCACTAACCTTCTCAATATTAATACTAGAAACAAGAAGAAACAGCAAAATGCCTTCTCAATACTTTTTTTTGGGCCATGGTGCGCAGCATGCGGAACTTCCCCGAACAGGGCTTGAACCCATGCCCCCTGAACTGGAAGCGTGGAATCTTAACCACGACCATCAGGGAAGTCTGCGCCTTCCAAATTTTAATGGAAGATGTTTCTAACCTAGAATTCTGTATTCGAATTTTCAATCAAATGTGAGGGTAAAATTAAAACATTTTCAGACAGGGAAGGTCATAGAAAAGTTACCTCCACACATACCTTTTCTCAGAAACTTCCTGGAGAATGTGCCCCAATATAAGGAGGGAATAAACAGGGAGACAAAGACATGGGATCGAGGAGACAGAGACTTTAATATAAGAGGAAGGCAAAAGAAATTCCTAAGACAACACTTGTGCAGCAGGCCTCAAAACAACTAGTGCACTTGGGAGCAGCAGGCTAGGGTTCTAGGGCAGAAATCTCCAAGAGAAACTAAAACCAGGAGAGTACTTGCTTGTGTTTGACCATACTGAGAGATTGTTCAGTTCTGTCAGAGTACAGGGGTATATCAGGGGTAGCTACATAGAAAACCAAACAATTAAAAACCCCAAATATGGCAAATATTACATTTAGGATAAGCAAAGAGTGATTCCCCCATCCAAAAAATGGGGAAGTATAATTATAGTTCAACTCAGCTGCAAACAGGAGTTTTTATGATTATAACAACATAAATAGGGACTCCTGATTTAGCCAAATATTGTGATGTAACTATATTACATGAGTGGGAGGAAGGGGAAGTTGTATGTGTTTATAGTGTGTGTGGGGGTCCTGGCGGAGGTAACATAAGATAATAAATCCTTCTACAGCAGGACATCAAAAGATAACTGAATTGAAAAACCAAGAAAAAGTGTAAGCCACTGACATGGATGCCTCTAACGGTTGAACATACTCAAAATCCATTAGGCAGAGCAAAACGCTAGGAAATTATGTTAATTAGGGTAAAACCTAGTGGGATTTGTCAGAAGATTGGGCAAAGAGTGGGTAAATTGAATAAGTTTACCCTATCTGTTCCAGCCATGAAAGAAAGTTATATTGTATCTAACTGCATAATTCCTTGTCTAATGTTGAAAATACTTTATGGTAATAATGACTGTGATATTAAGTTGTGAAATAGAAAGGAATGCAATGCTATAGATTTTAAAAAAATCAGCATTGGATTTTGAAATATATTGAATATCCATTTTTGCATTTATCTAAATTAAATAATTTTTCTCCTTTGGGAAAAAAAAGTATAAGCATGGAGAAGTAAAAAACAATTAAAATAATTTAAATGTGGACAGTGAAGATGGGAAGGTGTGGGGCAGGATGCTATCACTTTCTCTTTGCACTGTCACACTTTTTCAATTATGTGTAATAGTATTTTCTTAAAAATAAAATTAAACTGAAAAAAACCCTATAAAAACAAAAGAAATCTCAGGGCCTAACAAATCACTTTTAGCTTTAAAACTCTAGATAATCACCTGAAACATCTCGTGAACAAGAAGAAGCATATATGTAGCACACACCAGTAAGCATTATTATTTTTTTGCGGTACGCAGGCCTCTCACTGTTGTGGCCTCTCCCGTTGCGGAGCACAGGCTCCAGATGTGCAGGCTCAGTGGCCATGGCTCACGGGCCTAGCCGTTCTGCGGCATGTGGGATCTTCCCGGACCCGGGCACGAACCCGTGTCCCTGCATCGGCAGGCGGACTCTCAACCACTGCACCACCAGGGAAGCCCCAGTAATCATTATTAATTACATGTTATTTCAACCCCAAATCCTCCCCATATGAAGAGCTAAATTACCTACATTTGGTATAGGGTACATGAAAAGCTGCCTCAAAAAGCCAGAACATACAAACCAAATGTCTTCATTTGATCAGATTAGATTGAATTCACAGTATTGTAACTGACATGTAACTTTTCAGGAATACATAAAAAGTTAGTTTGATCAGTTGTGCAAACATAGGATTATTCATTTATCTTTTATGGGCTGATAATTAATGAAATTAAGTGCCTGAATCAAAAGAACAGATACAGTTTGTATAAGTGAAATTACCTGAAGAAGGTCACGAAGAACTGTACCAGGTCCATAAAATTGCTGTGCTGGGAGAAGGCAATCTGTGAAAGAAAAACACGTAGAGTGATTGGGTAATAAGATAGCACCATTAACTCAGCCTTCTCTTTGAAGCAGAAAGACATTAACGTTTCAAGAAGAGCTTAATGAAATTTTTCACTTGAGGAAAAGCACCTCATCCCTTTAGTTTTTCTTGCTTAATTGCCACACAAAAGTGATATTCTGAGACTCAACACAAACCCCTACTGTCCCCCTGCTCTTGACAGCAGATCTCAGTTTTTAGTCTGACCTCAAAGACTTCTCAGACTCCTGCTAATGACCCCAATGACAAGCAAGTCAGGTTACTTGCTACCTCCTTGTGCCCTTTTCAAGACAAAATACTCCCCTTGTTTGCTTCAAATTCCAATTCTTGGATCTACCGTCAGGTGGGCAGCTTCCTTTTGTGCCCTTCATCCCTTTGACACTTAATGTACTCACTTCAAGATAACATCCTTTTTTTAAAAAAAACCTTATCCCAAGTTTCACTACACTGAATATCACCTGACAATCAACGTAACACCAATTTGAACTTAAATAATTTTATACCAAGAATATTATAAAATCCCTAATGTAGTTCATCAAATCTAAGACACCATTAAAACAGGCATTATTTTGTGTACTATTAACACTGCCAGTTACACTATGACACACTGCTTTTAAAATCATTGTAAGATGTATCATGATTTCAGAGATATTAGACCATGAAAAAACGTGCACCTTAGAATTTATTAGTATGATAATTGTGTCCTTACTACCCTATGACACACATGGTACTAGCCAGATGTTATGGTGTGTTCTCTGCTTATTTAAAGGGACCACAGCCCTCCTTGGAGAGATAATGGTACTATAAATGAAACAATTATTGAATAAGATGGTAATTATTGAAATGAAGGCAATAAGTATGACAAGAGTCACATAAGTAAATGATTAGCATCTTCTTTTCCTAATCCCACCCTACCCCCCCCACCTACTCCTGTCAACTCCCATCCTACAGCAATGCAAGCAAAGTGCTACAGCCTAGGCCCCAGCACAGTAACAATTCAGCGCTTTGCACTCCTTTTATAGTCAGACTCACAGAGGCAGAAAAGAGGAGAAGCTTCCACTGCTTTTCTTTTTGATGCTCTTATTTTCTTTTTGACATTTAAATAAAGGTCCAATATTACCTTTTCAGGCCATAGAATATTATGGGGCATAGAATCTGAAGTTTTTGTATCCTCCCTCTAGCCACCATTTATAGTCAGGAATACAAAGATACATAGATTTGATATCATAGACAAGGAGAAACCATATTCTTTGCTTTCCTTCATTTATTATAGTAATCATCCTAAATAAGAAGTCTCCTTGAGAGAAGGAAAACTGCAGAATATGGCTACAGTCCTCACATAAAGGTTTTTAATAAAACTGGGGAAAAACAATTATATAAACGAGGTTACTCAGTCTTGAGGAATGAAGAATCCAGGTTACAAGACATAAAGAAGGAGAAGGAAACATTTTAGTGTATCCAATTCTATTTAGATTTTAAACTTTTAAAACATTAGTATGGGAGGAATCGGGAAGATGGCGGTAGAGTAAGACGCGGAGATCACCTTCCTCCCCACAGATACACCAGAAATACACCTACACGTGGAACAACTCCTACAGAACACCTACTGAACGCTGGCAGAAGACCTCAGACCTCCCAAAAGGCAAGAAACTCCACAAAAGAAAAAAGAATAAACAGAGACAAAAGGATAGGGACAGGACCTGCACCAGTGGGAGGGAGCTGGGAAGGAGGAAACATATCCACACAACTATGAAGCCCCTTGGCGGGCGGAGGCTGCGGGTGGCAGAGGGGGAAGCATCGGAGCCGCGGAGGAGAGCATAGCAACAGGGGTGCACAAGGCAAAGCGGAGATTCCCAAACAGAGGATCAGTGCCGACCGGCACTCACCAGCCCGAGAGGCTTGTCTGCTCACCCGCCGGGGCGGGCGGGGCTGGGAGCTGAGGCTTGGGCTTCAGTCAGAGTGCAGGGAGAGGACTGCGGTTGGTGGCAGGAACAGAGCCTGCAGGGGGTTAGGGCGCCACGGCTAGCCAGGAGGGAGTCGGGGAAAAGTCTGAACCTGCCGAAGAGGCAAGAGACTTTTTCTTCCCTCTTTGTTTCCTGGTGCGCGAGGAGAGGAGATTAAGAGCGCTGTTTAAAGGAGATGCAGAGACGGGCGCGAGTCGCAGCTAACAGCGCGGACCCCAGAGACGGGTATGAGACGCTAAGGCCACGGCTGCCGCCACCAAGAAGCCTGTGTGCGAGCACACATCACTATCCACACCTCCCTTCCGGGGAGCCTGTGCAGCCCGCCACTGCCAGGGTCCCGGGATCCAGGGACAACTTCCCTGGGAGAATGCACGGCGCGCCTCAGGATGGTGCAACGTCCCGCTGGCCTCTGCCGTCACAGGCTCGCCCCACATCTGCGCCCCTCCCTCCCCCCGGACTGAGTGAGCCAGAGTCCCCGAATCAGCTGCTCCTTTAACCCCGTCCTGTTTGAGCGAAGAACAGATGCCCTCTGGCGACCTACACGCAGAGGCAGGGCCAAATCCAAAGCTGAGCCCTTGGGAGCTGTGCGAACAAAGAAGAGAAAGGGAAATCTCTCCCAGCAGCCCCAGAAGCAACGGATTAAACCTCCACAATCAACTTGATGTACCCCGCATCTGTGGAATACAAGAATAGACAACAACTCATCCAAAATTGAGGAGGTGGACTTTGAGAGCAAGATTTATTATTTTTTCCCCTTTTCCTCTTTTTGTGAGTGTGTATGTGTATGCTTCTGTGGGAGATTTTGTCTGTATAGCTTTGCTGTCACCATTTGTCCTAGGGATCTATCCGTCCGTTTTTTTTTTTCTTTTTCAAAAAAATTTTTTCTTAATAATTAATTTTTATTTTAATAACTTTATTTTATTTTATCTTACTTTATATTATCCTCTTTGCTCTTTCTTTCTTCTTTCTTCCCTCCCTCCCTCCCTCCTTTCTTTCTTTGTTTCTTTCTTTGTTTCTTTCTTTGTTTCTTTCTTTGTTTCTTCTTTTTCTCCCTTTTATTCTGAGCCGTGTGGATAAAAGGCTCTTGGTGCTGCAGCCAGGAGTCAGTGCTGTGCCTCTGAGGTGGGAGAGCCAACTTCAGGACACCAGTCCACAAGAGACCTCCCAGCTCCACATAATATCAAATGGCGAAAATCTCCCAGATATCTCCATCTCAACACCAACACCCAGCTTCACTCAAGGAACAGCAAGCTACAGTGCTGGACACCCTATGCCAAACAACTAGCAAGACAGGAACACAACCCCACCCATTAGCAGAGAGGCTGCCTAAAATCATAATAAGGCCACAGATACCCCAAAACACACCACCAGACGTGGACCTGCGCACCAGAAAAACAAGATCCAGCCTTATCCACCAGAACACAGGCACTAGTCCCCTCCACCAGGAAGCCTACACAACCCACTGAACCAACTTTAGCCACTGGGGACAGAAACCAAAAACAACGGGAACTACAAATCTGAAGCCTGCAAAAAGGAGACCCCCAAAACAGTAAGATAAGCAAAATGAGAAGACAGAAAAACACAGAGCAGATGAAGAAGCAAGATAAAAACCCACCAGACCTAACAAATGAAGAGGAAATAGGCAGTCTACCTGAAAAATAATTCAGAATAATGATAGTAAAGATGATCCAAAATCTTGGAAATAGAATAGACAAAATGCAAGAAACATTTAACAAGGACCTAGAAGAACTAAAGATGAAACAAGCAATGATGAACAACACAATAAATGAAATTAAAAATACTCTAGAAGGGATCAGTAGCAGAATAATTGAGGCAGAAGAACGGATAAGTGACCTGGAAGATAAAATAGTGGAAATAACTACTGCAGAGAAGAATAAAGAAAAAAGAATGAAATGAACTGAGGACAGTCTCAGAGACCTCTGGGACAACATTAAACACACCAACATTTGAATTATACGGGTTCCAGAAGAAGAAGAGAAAAAGAAAGGGACTGAGAACATATTTGAAGAGATTATAGTTGTAAACTTCCCTAATATGGGAAAGGAAATAGTTAATCAAGTCCAGGAAGCAGAGAGAGTCCCATACAGGATAAATCCAAGGAGAAATACGCCAAGACACATATTAATCAAACTGTCAAAAACTAAATACAAAGAAAGCATATTAAAAGCAGCAAGGGAAAAACAACAAATAACACACAAGGGAATCCCCATAAGGTTAACAGCTGATCTCTCAGCAGAAACTCTACAAGCCAGAAGGGAGTGGCAGGACATACTGAAAGTGATGAAGGAGAAAAACCTGCAACCAAGATTACTCTACCCAGCAAGGATCTCATTCAGATTTGATGGAGAAATTAAAACCTTTACAGACAAGCAAAAGCTGAGAGAGTTCAGCACCACCAAACCAGCTTTACAACAAATGCTAAAGGAACTTCTCTAGACAAAAACACAAGAGAAGGAAAAGTCCTATAATAACGAACCCAAAACAATTTAGAAAATGGGAATAGGAACATACATATCGATAATTACCTTAAATGTAAATGGACTAAATGCTCCCACCAAAAGACACAGATTGGCTGAATGGATACAAAAACAAGACCCATATATATGCTGTCTACAAGAGACCCACTTCAGACCTAGAGACACATACAGACTGAAAGTAAGGGGATGGAAAAAGATATTCCATGCAAATGGAAACCAAAAGAAAGCTGGAGTAGCAATTCTCATATCAGACAAAATAGACTTTAAAATAAGGACTATCAGAAGAGACAAAGAAGGACACTACATAATGATTAAGGGATCGATCCAAGAAGAAGATATAACAATTGTAAATATTTATGCACCCAACATAGGAGCACCTCAATACATAAGGCAAATACTAACAGCCATAAAAGGGGAAATCGACAGTAACACATTCATAGTAGGGGATTTTAACACCCCACTTTCACCAATGGACAGATCATCCAAAATGAAAATAAATA